TGTCATTGATAGTTATATTTCTAAAGTATACATATTAATAATATTAAAATAATCTTGAATACACTGTTTGCCGTTTTCATTCATTCCTGCACTCATGCCTAATTCATTTGGTATAACAAAAAGCTGTAATGTGTGTTGTGTGGAATTTCCAGTGGAAGTCTGGCAGATACTTGAATCTTAATGCTGCTCAACTTCAGAACTGCTGTTTTTAATTTATTTTATTATTTTTCTCCAGATTGAAATTTTAACTAATGAAAGACGAAAAACAGACAAACACAACAAAGGAGGAGGCTTTTCCATTTGACAGTTATGCATTTTTAATGCACTGATAATAATGCCATAAGTGACCCCTGCATTAGATGGAAAGCTGATGGAGCTTAAATTACCCACTTTCTCATCAGTTTATTCTGTCAGCACATCAGGAGTTTGTCGATAATATGCGAGCTTTGAGCAGTGGTTAATACAACATTATACAAATGGTGCTTGATGAGTTTTTCTTTTTACTCCAGTAATGTTTCACAATGATGTGCAGACTGAGTCACAGTCTGATTTAAAGAGCTCACAGCTCTGAGAGAAATGAAAAGCAACAGTCCCTCGAGCGAAGGGGTATGGAGGTACTGGCCAAGCTACATTTTTGCATCCAACAAACATTCAAATATCCTTTTTAAACCTAATCTGCAGTCAGTTTTTAAGCATAACTGTGCAAAATCTGTTTCCAACCACAACACTGATGCTGAGGACTGTTTTAAGTTCTTGTTCTTGACATTTGTACAGGAAGACTGGGCTTTTTAAAAAATTGTTTATTTCAAGGACTTCCATCACATCTCTAGAAATCTAAAAAAAAAAAAATTAACATCACCTCTGAATGTTTTCACATTTATTACTTTTTACAACTTTGAATCCCAGCAGATTAATCAAAGCTACTGTGTGGAATGTGAAGATTTCCAGGTAAGGTAGTGCACTCTCCAACTGGACCTCTCCTATCTTACTGGGGGGGAATTCCCTGATCTCAGGTTTTCCTCAAAAATATTTATGTCAGCTTCTGGAAAAATGAGTCAACAAAGTTAGTGGAGATTTGTTTGAAATGTCCCTTTGTCTTTAAAAAAAAAAAAAAAAAACCCAGCTGTTGAAACTTCCAGAGTATTACAGTGAAGTCGAACTATAATTATATAGAGGCAGTCTCAGTCTCATTCAAGTAACGTTTTAAACTTCTAAAAGTGGTTTTTGTAAAAATAGCTGGGAGGTCAGAGCAGGGTAGCAAATTGAAGACATCTGTGTGCACTTTTCTTTTTTTGGGGGGGGGATGTTAAAATTGGCTTAATCATTTGATTCAATGTTGTACAATAATAAAGCTCAAGCCCAAGTGGCTGCTTTTTGCAGGTGTCGTATTGCTTTACAAGAAGTTCCCACTGTACAGTGTGTTCAATTTTTAAGAGTAAAACTAAACCTCCATGCTCTTAATCCGCGGCATTAAAGAATATGCCGTTTATGAATTTCAGTTGTCAGTTTGCAGTTGAGATAACAGGTTTTATGGTCTTCTGTGACTCGCGTCTCAAGCACAGTTGTGATGTTTTACAGACGTGTCTTCTCAAGTTATCCATTTCAGTACAGGTCTAGCCAGTAGCTTTCTTTTTTCTTTCTTTTTTTTTTCTTCTTAATGTAATACTTCCTGTTTTTTGGCTCTCAGCAGCCTCCATGTTTTCTATCCAGAGGTGGCATATAGTAGGTCTTGAAAGCTGCATGGTGTGAGTCATCCCGGGGCTGTGAAGAGAGTAGATGCAGCCAAATGAAAGGCCATATCAAAAAGCATCATCAGGGCACTTGGTTAGTGGTATTAATTTGATTCTTCACATTTTTTTTCTAGTGACCATTAATATGCCTTTTGTTTTTTATTTTACTGCATTTGTGTAATGCTCTTGGTAGATGTTATTCCCAGAAGGTATAATGAAGAATTCAAAAATGTGAAAATCCTGGTGTCTGTCATACTGGTGTTTACCTTGGCCAACTGTGACTGGCACTTTTTGGATGTGATAGTTGGCAGTGTGCCTCTGTGAGTGACTGTAAATGCAGGCATAGTGGAGACTGGGAAGGAGATCTGCGGTCCCGGTACAACCACGTTGAGCTTGGGCAGCTCTGCTGGATAATGAGGGATGTTCCGTCGGATGAGGGTGTCTGCTACATGCTTCATGTTGTGCTGGAAATAGAGAAAGTATCAGATGTAATTTGGTGGATTTTATTGGAGCCAACTTTTAGAGCTTTAGCTTACACTCATTAAAGGTGTTTGTCTTGTGTGTCTCCCTCTCAGTTGTTTCCCAACTCGAGCTGGTCGACAGATATGGTCAACTGAGTTTTGTGTCACACAACTTCCGATTACATCCATAGTCCCAGAAACTCTGTGAAGACTCTCGGCCTTCTTATCTGCCATCCTAGGAGAAGAAACACAAGAGCATATTTATTTAAAGCCCTTAAGCAATACACTCAAACTGTGACTTTGACACTAAGGAAGGCTATAATTTAACTTCTGGAAAATATTTGTTATCAGTTAAGATACATAAATACAATTAAGCACTTCACCTTATTTCCCTAAAGTATGTGTGCCTTAGGGCTGTTTCAGCAGCGATTCGTTCATCGGGGTCATAGGCAAGCATTTGATAGAGGAGAGACAGAGCTGGAGCTGGGCATCTGGGGACTAACCGTGAGATGCCAGTGCCTTTTTTTGGAGGGAAGTTGAAATGCATCGCTCTAGACCTGCACAGACATTACAACACCGGGACAAGCATAGCTGAGCACATTAAACTTCTGTACTGATTAGCTGATTTTGTTTTGTGTAATAACCTTAGCATATTTAATGAAGCCATGCAGAATTTTGTGATAATTGGAGTGGGTATAAATTTGTGTGTGTAATTTGGATGAAGTTTGTAACAGAGTTTAAATGTATTTTCAGCCCTAGCTCCCACCCTAGTGTACTTGGAGTACTTCATTACATTTCTTAAAGTTGTAAAAAAAATAAGCTGAATCTAAAATATTTATACAGTTCAAGCATTAATGGAAGGACCTGTATTCACAATTTATTTGTGCCGCTTTCGGTCACATGTAATTACCATAATGAACTTTAATAAACATAATGACCACCTACTGCTTGAACTTTTGGAGCAGACTTTGATCTGGTGTTCCCAAAATATCATGAATCTTGGCAATCTGGTCCAACTCGTTGGTTCCAGGGAAGAGAGGATTCAAGCTGAAACACACAGGTATTATTGACACAGCAAAGCCATTCACACAGGTTTCATTTCACATTTGTTTATGCTGGGGGTGGGAAGACAGGAGGTCGAATTACACAGAAAGCTGAGAATGCAAAGAAGGGCAAAGGCAATGCTCTTGTACAAGGAATGAAGTTTAATTGAAATGCAATGTCCTCTAGCCAAACTTCAAGTATTACAGGTGAAATTCTGTGCTGCACAGGATACCTCATGATTTCAAAGAAGACACAACCGGCGCTCCAAATGTCCATCTTGAGGCTGTAATACCCGTCAGTGAGCAGGCACTCTGGGGCTCTGTACCAGCGTGTGGAGATGTACTCTGTGTGCGGGGGCTTCGAGTACACGCTCCGACACGAGCCAAAATCGCCAAGCTTCAAAATGTTTTGCTGCAAGTTGCACAAATATATGTTAAAAATGACACTGAAAATAAAAGTGCAACTATTACATTCTTGTGAGTCTGATTACTGCAATGATGCATCTCACCTTTATAAGAATGTTTTCTGGTTTTACATCTCTGTGAAAGATCCCACAGCTATAAAAGAGAACACAGCCTCAGGATACCCAAATAACGCCTTTATTTAATAATTTCATGTGAACTTGAGTGTTTCCTTTTTACCTGTGCATGTGTTCAAGCGACTTG